GCTTCCAGGGAGTTCTTTGAGTAATCTCTTCTAGGTTTTGTGACTATGCAAAAGTCAGCACAATCTTCTTTTGCCATAGCATGCAGTTTTCTGTGGTTTGTAAATGCCCTCCCATTTCAGAATGATATTTGCAGACTTGTTGTTTGCTTGTACAGTTTATTTTTAGATGGAGAAGTGAGAATACAATTGAGCTATTTGGGGCTTCATAAACAATGTCTAGTGACATAAAACCCCAGGACAGTGAAGAACACAGGACAATGTGCAGTACCAGTTGGGTTCACCCCTTGGGCAACTGTGGATGCTGCAAATTATGAGATTATTAGTGCACTGGTTACATTTTTTTGTCAACTTAACAAAATCCAGAGTCATCTAGGAAAAGGTAGCCTCCACTCACCAAAAAAAAAAAAAAAAAAAAAAAAAAAAAAGCCTCTACTAGTAGCCTGTGGGACATTTTCTGTGTTAAAAATTATATGGAAGACCACAGTCCACTATGAGTGGTGCCACCCTTGCTTGGGTAGGTGGCCTTGGGTGGTATTAAAGAAAGCACACTGAGAAACCCATGTGGAACAAGCCAGTGAGCAGCATTCCCTTGCTTCAGTTCCTGCCTCTGGGTTCCTGCCTTGGCATCCCTCAATGATGGACTGTCAGCTGGAAGTGGAAGATTAAAAAGCCCTTTCCTCCCCAGGTTGTTTATGTTCATGGTGCTTAGCACAGCCACAGAAAAGCAAACTAGGATAATTGGTAATTCAGTCTGCTACACAGAGTTGTAGGTATGGTTTTACAGCACAGCTTAAGCAATCCAGTCATTCATAAAATGCATGTATACATTTACACACACACACACACACACATGGCTCAATTGAATTTATTACCTATGATTTCTGCTTTAATACATTCTGTCATGTTAGAATATGTTCGAAAAAATAAAAATAAGAAACACACATGTATGAATATTGTTTTTATGCTCATTTTTATGTCATCTGAGACAAAGCAAACAGGGCTATACCTTACACAGGGAATGGCCATGGAGAAGGCTCACTCTCCCTCTTGGCAGCACACACTGCTCCACTCCACGAATGGAGAGTAATGGGTCCTTAGCCAGCTGTCAGGCATTTCAGCTTGGGATTCTATTAGGAGAGCTTTGACTGGTTATTAAAGGAAATGAGTTCAGTAAAATAAGCATGGGTGTGGGCCATAAAAGCCATGCGTTCTCTGCCCACCGTGTTTCTGTTCGGTTTGTACCATGCAGTTCTGCAGAAGGTGCTCAGTTACAGCATGCTGTGACCTGTGTACCTGCAGCTCCTCTTTCTGTCCCATTAGGTCTTTTCCTCCATTTTAAAGACATGCTTCTTCAGGCTGGAGAGATGGCTCAGTGGTTAAGAGCATTGGGTCCTGAGTTCAGTTCCCAACAACTGAATGGTAGCTTAACAAACATCTGCAGTAGGATCCTATACCCTTGTCTGGATTAACGATATATATATATATATATATATATATATATATATATATGTGTGTGTGTGTGTGTGTGTGTGTGTGTGTGTGTGTGTGTGTGCAGAGAGACTACTCTTATACATAAAATAAAGAAATAAGTAAAATATCTTAAAGAAAAAAATATGCCTCTTCCATGAAGAAGGAAAGAAAAATTCTTGTATTTGCCTGCATGAGAACAAAAGAATGGCAGCAGGATTACCTTCCAGTATTATGCCTTAGACTTTATATATATATATATATATATATATATATATATATATATATATATATATATTCTCACTATGTATCCCTGGGTGGACTTGAACTCACTTTGTAGACCAGGCTGGTCTGGAATTTAAAGAGACTTACCTGTTTCTGCCTCCAAGTGGAAATTAAAAGTGACCACCACACCTGGTTGTTGTTCTGTTTTTAAAACAAAAGGTCAATGACAACTGCATCTGGAGCTCATCAAATCAGATCTTAGGCGTGATACTACGTCAGCCACATTCTCCTGTGGTAACTCACAAAGCACATTGATTTAAACATTGGGGGGAAAATACCTTCTCTGACAGAGTGATGAGTTCTGTATTTTTCTCAGCTCCTAAGAAGTACAGAGCAAACACAGAAGAGAGAGAATGCTGTTCGCAGAAGGAAATCCACCATTTTTGAGCTCTTTTCTATCCTGTTATCCAATGTAGGTTTTTATTCAGTATGTAAAAAACATTAATATGTAAACGATTTGGCATAAGCTTCTTAAGAATCATTTACGGAAGTGAACTGCTGAGAACTATCTATTCCACCTATGTGAAGGAAAAAAATCTCAAATTTAGTCAACACATTTATATTAGATCCTGTTACAGATCAGATCATAAATATCCTTCAATGGCCTGTGTGAAAGTCTTGGTCCCCAGGCCAGTGCTGTTGGGACGAGTGGAATTTGTAAGGTAGGTCCTAGCTGGGTGTGGTGGTACACACATTTAGTCCCAGCACTCCAGAGGCAGAGGCAGGTGGATACCCATGAGTCTGAGGTCATCTGGGTCTACATAGAGAATTTCAGGCCAGCCAGAGTTATTGTCCCAAAACAACACAAATAAAAGAGAAAGAAGAGGTGGGCAGGACCTATTTAAAAGTCTTTAGACCATGGGAGGGGGATGCTCTCAAAGGAGATAGTGGGACCCCAGCCCCTTGTTCTTTCTCCCTTCTTCTTTCTGGCCATAAAGGGGGCAGTTGAGGTCTGCTGTGCACCCCAACCATACTGTTCTGCCTCACCACACACTGCAGTCAACAAACCAACAGGATGAAGCTTTTATTTGCATCAGAGTGAACTTGTTTCTCTCTAAGTTGATTATTGCCAATACATGTTGTGGAGACAACACTGACTAATGGAGCATCCTACCATTTATCTATTAAGTGAAACCTGACAAGTCAATCTGGATCTGTTAAAAGAAACCTTGTCATTATTTAAAAGCCTTCTGAAAGGGCATAAAATCATGCCTTTGACAAAAAAAAAAAAAAAAAAAAAAAAAAGGAAAGCTACAACCTTACAACCTTGAAAGCATATTTTAGTACTTCCTTAAAACTTAAGAAGAGTCTGAGTTTCCTTCTTACTGGCCCCGTATTACCTCACAGATTTAAGTTTATTTACATAATGAAATTATTTTAACATTAGCACTGTTTTAGGCATTATCACTGACCTGGTTACATATGCAACAGATAACAAATTACATATTTTGAATCACAAACTGTTCAGCTTTATGCTTGGAAATGAAGTTATCCTTTGTTATGAGGTTATCCTTTGTTTGTTGAGAAGTTTTCCATTTATATTTTTGTTACTGTTGTTTAGTTTTTCAAGACAGAGTTTCTCCATGTAGCCCTGGCTCTCCAGGAACTCACTCTGTAGACCATGCTGGTCTGGAACTCAGAAAGATCTGCTTGCCTCCCTCCTGAGTGCTGGGATTAAAGGTTTGAACCATCACTGCCTGGCTGTTTTATTTTATTTTATTGTAGTGTAATGAGAATCTAGAATATTATGGAAATACCATATCACAGTTATGAGTCTTTATACATAACTAGAATTCTTCATTAATCTCCCTCTATCTGATAACAATATCGTATGTTATTAGAAGTGGAAGGAGTGTTGATGCACAGCTTTTCACCTTCCCACTTGGTTACAATTAAGAGAATTTCTGAGTCCTCTTAAGAAATTAGCTCACATACCCCAACATTATCACCCTTATTACACTAATATGGAATAAGTTTGCATAATTATATCTTTTTATCTGATCCTTAGTCTGGTATGATGTATATAAGAAGGAGGGGTAGGGAATAGAGGGTGAATTTGGTGCTTAAGATTCTTGAGGCTAAATAAAGGGTACTTTAATTATTAATAGTCACTCTGAAGTCATACCACAATGTAAGTTACCAGTACAACTTGGAGCCCCACTTTCCTTATTACTAGTGGGAACACTACTTCATAGCTCTGTGGTTGTCTGATTAATAACTATAGAGCTGGAATTTTAATCTGTGGTCTTTTGAAGCTATGGCCATTGTTTTTCTTTCCCTCAACTAATATTGTCAGCCATATCCTCAGTGGCTCATACTGCCTATTGGTACCAGTAGTTTATGGGAACTCAAGGATTCACTCCTCCTTGTTTACTGTTTTAAGTTAAGTGCCCTGCAGAATCTTGCTGTAAGGGTGTGACTTCTGATTATGACCTGTCAAGATGTGGAGAAGCTGAAGTCCTCTGCAAATACTGTCCCATAGAGGGCAAACCAACCCAAATGGTAGAAATGGAAGCCCTGGGAACCGGCTCCCAAACCCAAGAGGGCTGGCACACTTCCAAAACTGAACAACGGGGCCCTGAACATCTCTCTTCACCATCTGGGTTTCCCAGCCAGAAGCAACTCACACTCCACTCTAGCTGTGAATAGTGATGTTTTCTTCTGGCCAATTCCCCCTTTCAGAGGAGTTTCGCCTATTCCATTCTTTCCCAGTAAGATTTCAGCACTCACTTTGAGTTTCCACTTTGCTTTGCCTTCAATCCTTTTTTTTTTTTTTTTTTTTTTTTTTTTCTTTCATAACGAGGGAAGCCAGGCTTATTAAGATTGTCATTAGTGTACCTGCCTGCAGAGTAAGTGGTTCTTGCGGGGAGGTGCGAACGCGAGTGTTGATGGGCATGTTGGACTGCTTTCTTCGTGAAGGGCTGCTTCCCTTCAATTATCTCTCTTCATTTATTTCATTAGCAGGTGAAGGCACTTTTGTGCTTGCTGACTCATATTCATGAATTGTGTAAGAAATGCAGTATTCACTGCCCGACTTTGGTCTCTTGGGTTTCTGTTAGGAGTCCACCCAGCATTTCGCAGCTTTGGATACCCTGCTGGTTCTTTTACTCACTCTGAAAAGAGCTCTGTCTGGGTCATAGATAACGATGTTGGGTCTATTCCAAAATGTATTTAGTGAGTATGTGGTGTGTGCTGGGCATACAGCTGGGGAATATATTTTTTTTTAATGTAGATCCCTTTACTGCCTCAAAAGATGTTGGCGATATGCTGCTTCTTGGGGTCCCCCCAGCTCTGAAGTATCGACTGCCTGATTATGAGGACTGCAGCCTGGGAAGTTGTTCTGCTTCTGAACCACAAGTCCTCCCGTGAATCAAGTCTTTCATTCTGGGCAGGTATGGGCCAGTCTCAGGAGTGGGGTTCCTTAACTTAATATATGGCTACCTGCCATTCTCCGGAATACCTGAACCTTGCTTCCTGTATCTCTCTAAATATGCCTGGAAGAAGTCTCTCTCCTGGCAAAGAAGCTGTTTGAAATCTGGAGCAAAGACAGTACTCAAAGCTCAGGGGGGGGCCAGCACCACACACATGGCTTTTCTGCCCCAGTCTGTCTCTTGGAGCAGTGAGCTCTCTTGGAGAAAGACATTTTGGGCTTCCACACACAGCCATGATATACAGTGGAACTCTTGTCTTAATGTCAGAATAAGAACATCCTCCCAGGAAGCAAAATCATTGACAGCTATATTCTGAAGCAGTACATAGCAATATTTGACCATTATGTGTGTCTCAGAACGCTCTGGGCTCCTCCACCCAGGGAGATATATCTACACAGAGTTTTGCCAATTACCTTAGGAACCTCATGGCTTATCAACCTACATGATGAAGCGACAGTCTGTGTGATGGCCATGGAGAATATAGCCTGGTTTACTTAAGTACGTATTGTAGGTCCCACCCCGTGCACAGAACAGAAGACAAGCTCTCCTGTAACCTTGCCTGTGACAAGACGCTGAGGGGAGTGCCTGCTCAGAAATCTCCACAGATGTGTTTTAGTCCAGAGGCTCTGTGCAGTGCTTCTCAATGTACTGCAACTCTAGGACACTCTACTTAACCATTTCCCTGTTCATTACCCTAATGTCATCTGCTTGTAAGAAATAAAACAGTCATGGTAACACAAACCCATATACCAAAGAAGACAGAGCTAGGTGTTGCTCAGGAGACAATGTATGGTAGCACATTATAAAGCCTGCTCAGAAACTAGAAGCACTTTTTTTTTTTTTTTTTTTTTTTTTTTTTTAAGTTCATTCCTCATTTGACAGGCAAGCTTTTTTCAGTTTTGGAAAATGTTGCCAGAATAAGGCTTTGCCAGTTTACTTTTAAGTATAAATGAAAATATATTTTGGCTGTGTAGATAAAGCACCATAGGAGTCAAGCCCTCTTTGTTTTACATTTCCCCAATAGACAGTACAATGTGAAAATTTTTGAGGGCCTGCCATGTCAGTGGCAGTATGACTATGACCCTCAGTTTCCCAAGTTGCATAATGGTAATGACCCAGTTTCTGCAGCTCTGTTTTAGAGCATGAGAATTCAAAAAGCAAGTCTTACACTTAGGTAGGTGTGTGTGTGTGTGTGTGTGTGTGTGTGTGTGTGTGTGTGTGTGTATGTATGTCGGGGGGGGGAATACACACATGTGTACAGGTATGCTTGTGCTTATGAAGGTCAGAGTATCAGAAGTCAAGGTTACTTTCTACCTTACTTACTAATAATAGTGTCTTTTACTGAACCTGGATGTCAGTGACTGGCTAGGATGACTGACCAGTAAGCTCCAGGGATCCCCTTGTCTCCAACTCCCTGTGCTGAAATTATAGACACACACTACTCTACCTGGTTTTTAACATGGATGCCAGACATCACCTTCATAAACACTTTACTGGCTGAGTCATCTCACTATATGCACTCAATAGTTTGAACCCTTCAGGGAAAACTTTGGTGGATTCGAATTCCATCCTCCTCTGCCTTCACCATCACTTGTATCCCTAGGGATTTGGGACCAACGTCTCCACAGACACAAAACATTTGTGGGTCTGTTTTTCAAGTTCTCAGTTTTCCTGGATCCAAATCTTTACCATAAGTGCTTATGAGATGTAGTTTCACCCACTACCTATCTATCCCTGAAAACTAGTACACTGTGTGCTCTAAGCATACTTGATGCTGTCCTTTTTTTTTTTTTTTTTTTTTTTTGTGTGTGTGTGTGTGTGTACAGATGTGTGTGAGGTATGTGCATGGATGCTCATGCCCATGTGTGCATGCGTGAGCTACAGGAGAAAATTAAATGCCCTACTCTTAACACTGTTCACTTCATTCCTTGTTCAGTAAGAGAGCAAGAGCTAGACCGACAGCCAGCAAGCCCCAACAATCCTCCTGTCTCCACAGCACTGGGGTTAGAGGCATGCAAGGCTATACCTGGTACATCTGTGGTGTACCTGTCTTTTTATATGGATCTGAACTCAGACCCCCATGTTTGCAGAGAAAGTGTTCTTATCCACTGAGCCATCTGCTCAGACCTGTTTTCTGCAATTCCCTCCATAGGAGGGGTTGCGTTTTGGTTTAGCTCGTTTCTTCTCTTCATTTCATTCATCTGCTCATATGTCACTTACTTGGAGGGGGTCACATTGATACAGCTCCCCAGCTTCCTACCAAGTATCACCTTATTGCTTCACCTTTATGGCATTTATGTGTCTCAAATTATGCATCCTCCTTGTGTTACCTTTTCCTTCCAAAATGCAGATTTCATGAGAGGAAAAGGCATTGGTGGAGAGTCAATAATAACAATATATTAGGAGCTGTAGTGGGTGCCAATAATGTCGTGCAAAATGAATGAATAAGCTTTGGTTTCAAGGGGAAGCTACTTTAGGAAAACCAGGGATTTGGGTCTGTAATTTTAAACTGGAAATTTATGCACAGCAGTAAATGCTTACAAGAATTAGTCAAAATTCAGGTATATGACTAACTAAATAAATCAAATATTGTATGTGCTTTAGCCGATTTTATTCCCATAGCTCTCCAAAGCACATAACTACTCCCATTTCACAGGCACAAAACCTGTGCTATACAGAGGTTAATGAGCTTGAACCAAGCATCACAGGTGTTGGGTCTAAACACAGGTAGTTGAGCCAATGCTCTTAACCACCCAATAGAAAGCATTGAATGACAGAGCTGTAACTGTGGCTCAGCACTCAGCTTCAGTCTTACAAGCATGAGGTCATGGAACCCTCATTTCAAAACTGCTATTGTTATGATTGTTTCATAGAGAAGCTGGAATTGGGAAGCTTCAGCAACTTGTCTAAGGTCCCATAGCAGTTTAGTGATGAAAGGGGATCCAAGTGTAAACAATGTGAGTCTGAAATCTATGTTCTTAGGGGTCTTGACCCATATTAAACAAACAATGTGGGTTGCTGTTAGAACAGTCATTCTGAGGTTTGCGGGCAGTGAGAACTCATCTCCCTATTATAAAGAGTCTCTTTGGAGATACTGGGTTTTATCTTTTGGCTACAGATTTGTTGTAACTTTGGGTTGGACCAATTTAGATTTGTGAATAGGAAAAGCAGCATTGTTTTTCCATATAACCACTTGACTTGATAATGTCTGTGTCTTCAGAAAGACCATAAGGATGAAACGTGGCAGCATGACTACTAAAATTTCAATCTTGGTTACTAAAATGAACTAGAAAATATGTTTAATATTTCTGGGTCTATGTGCTGATATAAATAAAACAAAATCTTTAAAGCTTAGCCCCCCCATTTTTTTTTTTTTAGAAATTCCACCCAGAATGCTTTCTTTCATTGACTACACCCTTAGTGACTTGGTCTTGCCTTCACAAAAGTCCTCTGTAGGAAGTCAAGACTTTATATGATAGTCATTTCAGTACCCCTGCTTTTGTGTTACTTGTGTGCAAAAATCACAAGAGAAGAAGAAAAATCCTGAAATATACCCACACTATTACCATGGCTTCAAGAAGAATTAATGTAAAGAACCATGTGTGTCTATGTGGATATCAAACCATTTTTTTCTTTGAAAATTTCCATAAGCCACTGAGACTGGTTGATTCAGCAAGAAGAAAACGAGTCTGGCCTATTCTACTGAACTCCAGTCATTTCCACAGAACTCTTACTATGTGTGTTTTATTCAAAGCTATGTGATTCTATCTGAACCTGTATTTGATGCTCACAATTATCCAAATGTGTGGGTAGTGTGGGTATTATTAAGCCATTTTACGGATGGAGAAATTAAGGTTAATAGAGTTTAAAGAGCTCGCCCAAGGTCAAGAAGCTAATGAACAGCAGAGCCAGCACCTGAAGCTTTGGACTCCAAGTTGTATGTTGTCTTCTGAAGCCCCTACTCACATTTCTCTGGCCAGACAACCTGTCAGTGATGAGACTGTGTCTTTGATTACTAGTGCAGTCTGGCTTCCCAGGGTAGAACCTGTGGGCTCTATGGGGGCCCAAAATACCATGTCCTTTACTCAGCACTGTGTGCCTATCTGTAATTCCATTAAGTTTCAGTCCCATTTGCTCAAAATTAGGAACATAATTAATAATGTTTGTGGACCAGGGGCATCATTATATTGTTTTGAGCATCCAACTTTGACTGTTTCCTCTGGAGTATCCTGGTGGTTTGTCCTTGCACCCAGTGACAGGTGCTGGTGGAGCTGGCACCTCCAGTGATGCTTCCTTCTCTTCTCTGGACCTGTGAGCTCTGGGATCAGCACAGACTTGAGCCCAGACTTACTGTGCTTTACTCAGGATTTGCTCACTGGCTTTACTTTTATGGTTCCTCCTAGGATTTGATGGAGTTGCAAAATTGATCAGGGAAAGGATTTCAGAAATAAGTGGTTTAGTAACTCCAGGTAAATAAACCAGGAACCAGGCTTGATTGAAGAAAAAAAAATTGCTTGATTCAGCACAGCATCAACTAACTAGCTCCAGGTGCAGAAGGAACCTAGTGTAGCCAGGCTAGTGCTAGAGGTTTGTGTTCCTGGACAGGGAGGTTCACTGCGTATCCTGTTGAAATCCAGTAGGCCAGTAGAAGGCAGTAATTATCTAATATTCATCCGAATGGTACTTGAGGTACTGACCCTTTTCAACAGGTTGAATAATTGAGCTTTCCAAGCAGAAGCAGAATACAACTCCTACTGATGTATAAGGAACAAGTGAACTGACCCAGTCTGTGTTTTCATGGCAGATGTACAAGTTGGATATGAAACAAATGAGCTGAGCCAGTCTATGTTTTCATAGCAGACACAAAATTTGGACCTGCCCAATCCGGGAGGTCAGAATGCTGCTCCTCTGTCACATTCTAGCTATCACCATCCTTCAGATCTTGATCTTCTCAGAAAACTGGGCGCTTGCCAAGAACATTAACTTCTACAATGTGAGGCCCCCTCTTGACCGTAAGTAGGGGCTGTGGTTGTCATTTTGTGTCCACTTGATTTCCCCTCTTCCATTCACCATACCTTTCCTGAATGGTTGGGTTTACCTAGAGTTTGCCAGTTTACCTAGACAGGCCTTGTCACTGCCACGATGAGGGTGTAGTAATGGGAGGCTTCTCTTTTCTTTACAATGGGTTGGTTTCCTGCTATAGTCTTCCAAGGCTTCTAATTTAAGAACACAAGGGCCAAGTCTCTTGTGAGCACCATCTCTAATCATGGCTTGACAGAGGAAGTTCACCGATCTTTGTTGATTTCTTCATCAGAGAAGATTACCAGCTTTGGAAGTTTTTGGCATGAATATACCCATTCTTTCAAATGGGTATTAACCCTATTTGAAAACTCATCAGAAAGTGAAATTGGAAAGAGAGAGGGGCCTGGGTCTTCATTACTGTTACGCACAATTAACGGTGCATAAAAGTCAAATGGTAATCCAAAGGGTGAGTTATGGGACATGTTTTTCTTTTCCTTTCTCCTCTTCTCTTTTAAAATGCCTTCCTGGTGCTGGTGATACACAGCCAGGGTGAGGGCTGTCTCCATCCTAGCCCTACACAAGATGTATTTGTTGTTCTTCACTTTGCATTTTCTGTACTATTCAAGATGTTCCATCTAATCTGTCTCTGTTTATCTCATTCATAGGTATATATGCATATGTACATATATATAATCTCTTGGAATAGAACCATGCCATGGATCTTCCAAAGTAGCTTGTAGAGCCATTTTCATTTCTTTATAATGAAAGATTATAGTACTTACTAGAAGGGAACAAATGAAATGAGCACAAGCCAGATGGGTAGATGGAGCTTTTGGGTCCTAGGCATTCCTAAGGGGATGTCTTGTGTGTTTTGTTTCATCTAATAATGTTGCTAATTTTGTGCTATTTTTGAAGTTTGAAATTCTGTCTTTTTGTGATCTTACTTCCTTTTTCTTTAAAGCCACACCATTTCCAAACAGCTTCAAGTGTTTTACTTGTGAAAATGCAGGGGATAATTATAATTGCAATCGATGGGCAGAAGACAAGTGGTGTCCCCAGGGTGAGTATGTGAGCTTGGAAGACTCTTCTGGGTTCTTTTGTGTCCTCACTTTATTCAGGTCTTTCCTGTAGCTGGAAGAGATGACTTATGTAATAGATTAATGTGCCACAGCCTAATGGCATTCTGGATGGGTCCTGGATTTATTGTGAAAGACTATCCAGACAACAGAATATCCTGAAAGAACTTGGAAGTGGCTGACACAACCTCAACATGCAGTTGTATACATCACGAGGAAAAACATCTTAAGATGTATTTATCAAGAAGACAGAAACCACAGTGTTGACTAAAGCATTCAAACAATTCCAGAAATGCTTCACACTTGATAATATTTTAGAAACATCATACTTACTGGCTTAAAGCAAAGAAAGGTTTTTGTACTTACTCTCAAGATTCATTGGTGCTTGGGAGTTAATTCACTCCCCTAACAAACATCTGATTATCCTTGCTAGATTACTGACACATCTCCAGTGGCCAATTTGGTGCCTGGCTCCTAATATGCACTCAGTAAATACTTGCTGACAGATGAATGGATGCCTTTGACTAGGTATCCATGGGAAATCTTCTTTGAATATACATTCAAACAAAGACCTGAATGGCCAAGACAAGGAATCTGGATGGAGATCTGCAGGAATAGTGTTCCTGGAAGGAAAATCTCAAATGTAAAGGCTTCCAGAGTCAATAGTTGGTGTGGCCACTGTGACACAGTGGGAGATGGAGAAACAATCTGAGAGGAACCCACATTCAAAGACCTGCAGAAGTTTCTTTTGTGTATCAGGACACATGATACTGATTGTGATGTACAGCATTGCAGTAGCTGCTATGAGGAGAATGCATGGCTGGAGACAAAGGTTAAGGCATATATCGTGGTTTAATAAGGATCAGGAGAAACAAATAGGCCAAATAGATGTTTATTCAGGGAGGAATATCTTACAATAGAGACAGATGAACGCCAGCATGTCCCTGGTCCCAAGGATGCCTCTGGATGCTCTTCTGTCCCAGTGCTGCAAGCAAGAGAGTGCTCTGGGGCCTCTTCCCCAGACCTAGTTCCCCCAGGTCACATTCACCCCTGTCCCCACCCCCAATGGGCATGGTCAGTGCCACAGGTGCAGACAAAGTGAATATTTCACTACAGACATGAATCAAGTGGGGACTGTCATTACTTTTGCTTGGAAGGTGGGGACTGGAACTCCCAGAGATAAAAATAGAGTCATGAGGAAACTGAATGTTTTCATATGGGGTTGGAAGTAAAGCAGTCAGAATATGCTCATATGAATTTGAAACTGAGAGAGCTATAATGACACTGGACTGTTCTGATTTTAGATTTTCAGATGCAATGGCCTAAGAGAAACAAATAGTAGAACAGATTTCCAGAATTAGGAATTGCTGGTTTGGGTCTATTATCATGAATCTTTCTACACTATATTATTTATAATAGTAGATGGCCTGATTTTATCCAGATATAAGAAACATGTGTAACCCCCCCCAACAAAAAAACTTACTTGCTAGATTACCGAGAATCACTGCTAAGTTATGTGTGCATACCTGTGACTTCTTTCTTAGTCAGGGTTTCATTTTTATTGCCGTGAAGAGACACCCCAGCCATGCCAGCTCTTACAAAGTAACACATTTAATTGTAGCATGATTTAGTTATGCTCCACATTGAGCGCAGCTTGAGCAAAGGAGATCTCAAAACCCACTGCCACAGTGACACACTGACACACTTCCTCCAACAAGGTCACACCTACTCCAACAAAGCCACACCTCTTAATAGTGCCATTCCATTTGGGGGCCATTTTCTTTCAAACCACCACATTACACTCTCTGTCTCCCAAAGGCTTGAAGCCATATTATAATGCAAAAATGCATTCAGTCCAACTTCCAAAGTCCCCATATTCTATAACAGTCTCACACTTATTTAAAAGTCTAAAGTTCAAAGTCTCTTCTGAGATTCATGCAGCCTCTGTAAATCCCCTGTAAAATCAAAATCAAAGAGCAGATCACATACTCCCAAGATATAATGGCACAGGATATACATTACCATTCCAAAACACAGGGAAGGGAGCATAGACCAAAACCAGCTGGTCAAACTCCAAACTCTACATCTCCATCTGATTTCAAAATGCTCTTCAGATCTCCAACTCCTATCAGCTTTATTGACTGTAACACACTTCTTTTTCTTGGGCTATTTCCACTCCCTATTAACAGCTTTGCTTGGCAGGGATCATATGACTCTCGCATTTCCAACATCTTGGGGTCTCCCAGACAGTCCAGACTTCACAGCTTCATTTAATGGCCTCTCTAAATCTCCATTGTAGAAATACCCCTGACACATTCCTGGCCTTGGAATCTTTCCTTAGTCATGAAGGAAGGTTCTAAAACCTATTTCTTCTGTCCTTGGCTCTAAAGCCAGAACCATGTGGCCAAAGCTGCCAAATTCTTCTCCTTGTTGGGCCTGGAACATGGCTCCTTGATCAATTACATCTTCACCAGCTTTCTGTTTTCAATGGTTTCCTTCATTGCCTAAGCTTGGCTGTCCTGAAACTGAGTCTATAGACCAAGCTGGCCTTAAAGTCATGAGATCTGCCTGTCCCTGTCTCTGCCTCTGGAGTGCTTTAGGCACTCCAGATTTTCTTTTCACAAGTTGGAAGCTTAGTGGGGTAGGATCTTTCCCTGAGGTCACTACTCCCTTTATTTCATTCCTTAATCTGTCATTGAACTCGGCACCTAGCTCATTCTATTTCCTGGTACCCCTTTTAAACTTCTCAAATTGTACATTTTGTATTTTCATTTCCTAACTTGCTTCATTATTAATCTTTATTAGAGTTAGAATTAATAACCACACAATAGAATCTATACTAGGTTGTTTCCTTCACTAATACCATTATTCAAACACTTTTTCACTTTAGCCATAAGCATACTGTTCAGATAAGGGCAAAAAGCAGCCACATTCTTCACTAAAATATTACAATAATAGTCTTTAGGCAATAATACAAAAATTCTTCTCCTCTGAAACCTTTTGAACCAATACCCCACAGTTCATCAAATCACGCTCATCACCACTGTCTTCAATGCTTCTACTAGTATGGCCCATTAAACAAAACTTAAAGTGTTCATATGGTTTTCTAACCCACAGTCCCAAGGTTCACATTCCTTCAAACAAAAACATGGTCAGGCCTATCACAGCAATAAACCACTCCTGGTACCAACTTCTGTCTTAGTATATCTATTGCTGTGAAGAGACACAATGGCCATGGTAACTCTTTCAATTTCCATATGACCAATGTTTGTCATTACCTCTTTTCTAGAAGAATCAATTACTAGATTCTTTTTTTCTTGAGGGTCTTTTATATTTCTGTAGAGTGACTGCTCTTAAATTATTATATGTTTGAATATGTATGATTGTGTGCATTTTTCATGTTTTCACAAAATTTTTTCTTGGCTGTTTTAAAGGATTTTTTATTTTAGATTTTTTTTTTGCCTGAGATGGGGCTTCTCTGTGTAACAGCCCTAGCTGTCCTGGAACTAGCTCTGTAGACCAGGCTGGTCTTGAACTCACAGAGATCCACCTGCCTCTGCCTTCCAAGTGCTGAGCTTAAAGGTATGAACCACCACTGCCCTGCCTATTTAGAATTTTTCACATGCATAAAATTCATTTTAATCAAAGCATTCTCTATTCACTCCCCTCCAATTTTTTCCTTATCCCCTATGAATATACCACTGTTCTTTCCCAATTTTGTGGGTTTTTTTTTTTTTTTTTTTTGCCACCATGTGGTTGTTAGAAATGGAACTTAGGACCTCTGGAAGAGCAGCCAGTGCTCATAACTGTTGAGCCTATTCTCCAGCCCCATTTGTAAGCTCTTTTTAAAAAAACCAATGAGTCCACTTAGTGAGGATGGGTAATGGACAATTATGAGTATCCTCTCAGGGGCCACATCCTAAAGAAAATTGACTTGACCTACTGAGCAGCCATTAATTGCCAGTAGCTCCTCATTTAGGAGTAGGATTTCATGAGTCCCTTCCCTACCTGTGCTGGGATCATGCTTGCCTTGATTATATATAGGTCTTCTGCATGTAGTCACAACCTCTGTAAATTCATGTATGCAATGGTCCTGTCATTTCTGGTAAATATTGCTTCACTGCAGACACCCATTCACCTTTGCTCTTAAAATCATTGTTACCTTACTTTCTTTGATGATCCTTGAGCCTTAAGAGTAGGGGCTGTGATACAGCTGTCCCATATAGCACTAAGCATTCTACATTCTTGTCCTATGCACACTGTCCTGTTGTAGGTCTCTGTATTAATCACTCTGTCCTATGGGGGGAAAATGATTCCTCAATGAGGGTTGAGAGATGCACTAATCTATGGTATACAGATAAGAACTTAAGGGGTGATTTATTACTATGTGTATTTAGCAGAACAATAGCAGACAGTTCTGTCTTAGGATGTACAACTTACTTAGCTGTGGGGTTGTGTCCCAGTTAACAGTACTGGGCACAAGTTCCATCTTGTGGAGTGGATTACAAGTCTACTCAGGAAGAGATAGATTGGAGCAATTGTTTTCGTTTTAAGGTTGGTTGATAACTATCTCTCCTAATTTATTTCAGATGGTCAATATCATTCTTTAACAATTGCTTTAAATTTCCCCTGAACACCAAATAGAAGAGTTAGAATAGTTTTAAAGTTTGTCTGCTCGTTGGCCTTGCAGTTCTGGAGCATGCTATTCTGTGAATTGACCCTCAAAGTCTGTGCTAACTATGTCGTGCACAATGCTCCAATTTGCTGTTTATCAGCCAAAACCTCTTATTTACTCTGGTTTTAGAATATCATCTCTTTTGTTCATTTAAATATCTTTAAAGAATTGATTCTTTTATGTAGATGAGTATTTTGCTTGTGCATCTGTCTGTGCTCCATATGCGTGCCTGGTGTCCAATGAGAACAGAAAGAAGGCATTGGAGCCCCTGCAGCTGGAGTTATAGATGCTTGTTAGTTTTCACATGGCTACTGAGAACTGGTCCCACCTCCCCTGAAGAGCAAGAAGGCCAAGCCATCTTTCCAGCTCAAATAACATCTCATTTGAATCATGGATAAGCAAAACAGGAGACCTTAGCTTCCCATCCCCTATCAGTGTCAGCTATAGCAATGGCATCCTGGTTGGCCCTGCCAAGCCCACCTGAGAAGCCCACTCTTACCACTGTGGAATGACCTCACATTCCAGCACAGCATGAGAGCTCATTTTTGACCATCTGCTATTCAAGTCTCAAAGTCATTAGCCATCTGGAATTATAACTGAGATGTTGTTTCTTACTTTTCCCTTTGCTGTTGTTTAGTGAAGTGATAGTCAACTATTCATCCAGGACAAGCGGGCAGACCTGGAGCTATTGTTCTTTGTCTTCTCAGATTTCCTTTATCTCCATAAAGCTCCACGTGTGGTCCCTCAGTGTTGTTAAAAGAGGGTGTCTCATAGCAGAACATGACAACATGCTATTTCATGTTTCATTTACACCAGCTTTTGTGTTGACTGATTGAAGGACACTTTCCTGTGTGTGATGAGTGCAATGCTTGGATAAACACCAGCAGCCACTGGCTTCTGATTTTTCTGAGTTTGGAATATATATTTAAATGACCTCTCCAAAACATTTAATAGCTCCCTCTCCTTCAGACTCCAAAAGTCAGCTACTTTTGTCTAGTTTAATGTTGATCGTCCTAGGTGGCAGCCAAATGTACTGATTAAGGCCACAAACTCCTGAAACCTGCCTTGGTTAATCCTACCTTACACCTGTGTAACCTTCCTACCAGTATGGCAATAGATAAGATGGTGGTGCATGCTGTTAGCACTGCACTCAGGAGGCTGAGGCAGGAGGATCTCTGTGTGGGTTCTAGGTTAGCCTGGTCTACATAGGGAGCTCTAGACCAGCCAGGATTACATAATGAAATATTGTCTAAAACAAAACCAAATCAAGAATGTTAATATGGTGTATGGCCTTCCAAAGGCTCATAGTAAGGATTGAATGAACACAGTTAGAAGGCAACTGACTACCAATCTATAATATGAATATATTTGCCATTGTAAATATTATTAAAGCTATCAAAATGCCACTGTATGTGTTAGCATTTTTTTTAAATACAGTGATCTCAAAGGATCTAACAGGCCTTATTTGTGACAATCCTAAGAAGACTTCTCAATCTTGGTCCATTTTCCCCTAGTCAGTTGCTATTGAGATCCATGGTGAATAAATTAAGAAACACTTCCATGGTCTTTGGTAGCAACAGAGGGAACACAGAACCAAATTAGAATATCCCATGATAACACACGAACCACTGTCATAAAATGGATGTTTAAAGCAGTGAGGCTAACTATATAGAAATGAGCTAATTATACAGAACAGGCATGCGTGGGAAACAGGAAGTGAAGGGGAGAGGAAAAATGGGATACATTGATGAGGAATAGTCTTAGAATACAAATAAGCAGGGTGAGGGAGGAGGTGACCTGATATGTAGCTAGATACCCATTAGCCACTTAGCCTGTAAGAAACAAATGTTGAGTGAGGCTCCACGTTTTCAGATGCATTGTTTTTGTGCTCACAGTTTTTGTCTTAATTTAGAGTTCTAGACCATGAGCCTCAGAGGAAGAAAAGGCAGACTAGGGACAAAAAACTTGCATGTTAGGTGAGCAAGTGCAAGGAGTGATGAAAACTGCACATTTTTCTCCATTTCAGCTGCTTGGAAAGGAGCTAGATACCTATTTATATTCATTTTCAAAACACATGTGTACTTAGGTACTGATGTCTTTGCAGAAATACCACCTACAAACCCTAGCATTCTCTGCTAATAAATTTCTCCCGTAGAAGCCTGAAAGATTATCTTGAATTTTAGTCATTTCTGGCATGATGGTCTAGGGGTCTCTTTTACAGTATGAAAAATAAAATTGCTTTTTGTTGTTGTTGTTAAAATTTCCTAGACACACAGTATTGTTTGACAGTTCATCACTTCACCAGCCGTGGAAGAAGTACATCCATCACTAAAAAATGTGCCTCTAAAAATGAGTGTCATTTTGTTGGCTGCCGTCACAGCCGAGACTCGGAACACACGGTAAAGTGTGTGTGTGTGTGTGTGTGTGTGTGTGTGTGTGTGTGTGTGTGTGTGTAGTTACTTTCCCAGGTTTCGTGGTGATGGTGGTAAGTTATGCATCATGGGAGAAACAAGAAGGAGAAGCAATGTGTTACATTTGTTTGTGCTCTAACAAAAAGATACCATTACAGTGCCAATGAGGAGAGCAGACATTTAAAGATATTCTATCTTCAAAAAGAAATGTTACTAAGAATGAATGATAATTTCCAGGCTCCAGAGCCAGACTCTGGGCTTCAGAACTTGCATGAATAGTCTGAAACCTGCTCTAGAAGGTCAAGAACAAATCATTCTTGAAAGAGTAAGGCACACTGGAGTCTAGATGACATGATCTGTTCCTGGCTAAAAGTCACCAACACTCCCTTCCCAGGGTAACTAGATGGCAGAAAGGAGAAAACCAGGATGACTTTTGCCATTGGAACTTTGTCTCACCCTCTCTGCTCAGAGGAGAAAGAGTCCAAGAGAATAAGATAAATTCTAAACATATATTGCATCATTTGAGCCTTTAATGTTCTCATTTTACCACCTCAAATTAAGAATGTACTCTTACATGCAAAGATCCTAAAATTTTGAAGGAAAGAAAAAGTGACTTGAAGATAGACATTTCATGAGATTTTTACAATGTGGTGTAGCATGTTAAGTCAGTGACCCCAACATCAGTGACTGTTGACTCTGATCACACAAAGGCCATATGCATAGCAAGGACAAGGTGTGCTGATGAGGCTGGAAGGGAGCACCCTAGCCTGATTGATGTGGAACTTCACATAGAGGTCCAGGGCATCAAGAAAGTTCTTCAGGCTGGGTACCATGGCTCACACCTGTAATGCTAGTATTCTGGAGGTTGAGGCAGGAGGGTTGTGAGTGTGAAGACAGCCTGAGTTATACAGCAAGATTTGAAAAGGAAAATCAAAACTTTCCCCTGGGTGAATCTGATGGGCAACTGGCTGGATAGATAATGATGGCTGTGCTGGGAGTTGATGTTTTCCTGCTGCCTCATCAGCCTGGAAGTCTGATTGAGAGGCTCATTCATGAGGTCATGGCTTCCGGCTCAGCATTGCCCTTGAGATCAGAACCTGAACTTTTTATTGTTTTTCAAACTATCACTGCAATAATAATTGGACTTAGGTGAAGTCACAGACAATAGCAAGCCACCATTATTAGCTAGCAAGCAATACTAAGAAAGAAAACCAATGACAAGTCTGGAAGGTTCTTAATTTTTACTTTGGTTTCACAGTTTTCTAATAAACATGTCAAGATTTGGCAACTAGGGTAGTCTAATTCAGCTTCTTTTCTTCACTTCACTTATGCTTGGGTTTGACACAGAAACTTCAAGAGTCAGGATGAAGCCCCAGAGGATAATACCCGCAGGCCTAGTCAGTGCATAGGCTGGACTGTCAGCCCCGACACCTGTCTTTCTTTTTTGTTGCTCCTTTCTCCTTCTTGTCTTTCACTCTTATCCCTTTCCTTCCTTGTATAGGAGTGCAGGTCTTGCTGTGAAGGAATGATCTGCAATGTAGAGTTGCCTACCAACCACACAAATGCAGTCTTCGCTGTAATGCACGCACAGAGGACATCTGGCAGCAGTGTCCCCATGCCCTACCTCCCGGTGCTGGCTTGGCTCTTCGTGCTTCCCTTGCTATGATGTTACTGTTCCTAAGAGGGACAAAAGCAAGCACTGCAAAGCACAAGGCAGAAACAGTGGACTGGAGGATTTTGGAGCAAAGGCCCTTCTTTCACTTAATAAAGAGGATACACTGGACCCCAACATAGAAGGCAGAGGCTTGCTTTGCTGAAATGCTTCTGTATGAGGTCACAGAATTGAGCATGAGGACTTGGTAGGAACCAAGAGGATTACCTAACTCTGAGCAACCTGGTCCAGGGACGCTGCATTTTGTCACTTCTGTAAGAAGATCGCCAGTATCTCGGATGGTTACAGTAGCTTGATAAATCCTGGCCTGACCAGGCCTTTATCTGGAAGGACTTTTTGACCTCATGGACTCCCCCACAGGCTGCTGGATCAGATTCTCTGGCTTCTGTGATTAGCTCAGAGCATCTCTGTGAAATTTAACCCTTCTATCCATGGGAAAGCAATTTCTCTACTGTGTTAATTTTCCATCATTGTAACAAGAAGTTCCATTTATAAAGATAAATGGTTTGTTTGGGCTCACAATTTTGGAGATTGCAGTACCTACTAGTTTGAGGCTTGTGTTAGAGAGTGAATAGCCACTCACTCGTAACAGAGACTTGAGAAGGTGAGAGTATGGACTGGAGAGATGGCTTACCAGTGAAGGGTAATAAGTGTTCCCCTAGAGGACTCAGGCTTGATTCCCAGCACTCACATGGCAGCTCATAACGGAGAACTCCAGTCCCAGGAATCCAGTACCTTCTTCTGGCCTCTGTGAGTGCTGCATACATGTGGTCCATAGAAATATAAGTAGGCAAGATACCCATATGCACAAAATTAAATAAAAATTTCTTTTTGAAAGGGGGAAGGAAGGAAAGAGAGAGAAATGGGGGTGGGAGAGAAAGCAAGCATGCATGTAGGTTTCTACAGTACCCTTCAAAGTCATGTTTCCAATGTCCTAAATCCTCCCACTAGCCCCTACTCCCCAAAGGCTCAACTGCCCCCCTTAATGGCACCAGCAGGCTGAGGACCAGAACTTCAAACTTGTAACAGTCAAGATCCAAACAGTAATACCCACTAAGCACCTAGTCAATGAAAAAGGCAGCTGTAGTAGGGAAATTTCCAGTTGAAATTCTGTGAGTCTGTTTGCCAATTATGAGGTGGTTGGGGGGTGGGTATAAAACTTTGAGTTAGATAATGTCATGCATGCTGTGTGTCTCTTGACAATGTGGAAGCCTCTGATGAAACACATTTGCCAATGTCACTAAAGTTGTGTTTCCAGGTGCCATGGGTGATATATGTTACCTTAAAGAATAAAGTTTTATGACAAAGTGGCTTAGTTTTCACTTGTTTGTTTTTCCTTGGGGGGGTGCTGAGGGGAGGCTAAATACAAAGAGTACATTGAGAAGGTCAGGATCTTCCCTGACCAAGGGGGATGGATGTCACTGTATCTTGTCCACCCTCAGCGGCAGCCACCAAGTTTCATGGGAAGTCACAAGAGTTCTTTTCCCCAGCCCAGTCACCTACTCTTCTCTGAATGTCAAGTCCAGGAGAATAAATCTAGTATGAAATTGAATGTTTGGTCTTGTTATCCCCCTTTTCCCTTTTATAGCACAGTTCCAGTATGTCAAGTGAACATCTCTTTGCTGTTTCTAGGATCCTGATTTCTTTCCTTCCCACTTCTGCTCTTATATGTGTTAAAAAGAAACGTCTCCCCTCTAAGTAACATGGGCCATTAGAATGGACTGCTTTGTTAGAACTTAGTAGTGACACTGTCCCTGTTTGGACTCATCTGTGACATAGGTTTGCTAACTATGGCTTATAGGTCTAATCCATTCCACCACCTGCTTTTTGTTAATAAAATTTTATTTGAACACAGTTCACCCCACCTCCACCCCCAATTGTTTCTGCATGCCAGTATCTGCTTACAATACAGGGTGTCTTGGAGCAGAGGAGAGGGTTCGATTTTGGGAAGGCTCTTACACAGAAGAAGCTTTCTGACCCCTAATCTATAGGAAGGTAAGACTGATTCAAGAGAAAGCTGTTTCTGCAGGGTCCATGGTTTCCCGAACTCAGTCTGGGAAGTGATCTGGTGGATTTGTCATTCCATTGCTCCTGTCAGCCACAGGTTGTGCTCGTCTCTTCACCTTCACACTTTGGGAGTGTCTCATCTTAAGACTTTTCAGGTACATTATCTTCCTAGCTGTCTCAACCTTGGACCTGGCAGGGTTGTGTTGGTTTTGAAGTCTAATATGGATTCACCCTCTTTTCATTCAGTGCCTTGAACTATTTGTGCCTTTATAGCTTCTGCTTGATTGGTATTAATTATATACAGCTTCCTTTGGGAATAACATCTTTAGTGTCTTTTTATTCCCCAGAGTTTCTCCCCCTGCCCCAGCATTTCTTTTGACTATGCAATTGAGATATTGTCTGGTAAAATTATAATCACTAGTAGACTGTAATTTTCTTCTGATTTTGTTTCTGGTATTAAGATAATGAAAATCTCATGTGTGTGTGTGTGTGTGTGTGTGTGTGTGTGTGTGTGTGCTCACACGCATGTGCACGTGCACAATTGACAGCACATATGTAGAGGTCAGAGGGCAATTTCCAGGAGCTGGTTCTTTCCTTCCACCTTTGTTCCAGATAATGAACTCACATCATCAAGTGTAACCAATGAGCCACCCCACCAGCCCAGCCTTCTATGCCTGTAAAGCTGATGCTGTGGTCTGTTCCAATGAATGTTGAAAACTAGAATTCAAAAAGTAAATCCAGTCATTGGATCTCTTATATGGATATTTTTCAATTTCACAAAGATATGAGATGGCCAGGTATCCAAGACTCCGGATTAATTTGTCTTTAGTGAATAAGGAAATCAGGTAATATTTTGGTTTCAAAGTGTTCAGTAACAATTGGAGTAATGAGCCAGGAAGAAAGGGGAATGTGTAGATTTGCTGGTACAAAGAGTCATGGGGTGACTGTACATGTGAGGGGTATTTAAAGGAAGAAGCTGTCAAATTCCATGTTAAATATCTCTGCAATATAGAATAAACTTGGAATTCCAACCCATCAGTAAGGTTTTGTTGTTTAGAAAAAGAAGGGGGAGGGTATGGCAATCACCCTCCCATCTAAGCATTGTCTAAACTCTTTAAATTCAACTCTGAGTGAGGTTAGCTATCAGAAATTCCAGGCACTATGTTCCATGAAGTCTGCATTTCATCATTCAGTCCCTGGGTAAAACAGTTCATAAGAAAGGGAAGGGGGTCACTTACAGCACATACTGTTGATCAACGTGGTCTAGGGAGGTAAATTTTGTCATGGAACAGGAAAGAGGTATTTCACATGTATGAAATGAGTTCATGCTTAAGCCACATTACTCTTACTTGTAGATTATCAGCAAACAAATATATTATGGCCTTTAGATCATGGATTTTTTTTCTGCCTTATTCTTTGTTGTTGCCTCTCTGGCTACTGGAGTGAAAATCAGGCCAGAAGAAGAGGAACCATAGATGTGTGGGCATGGTTAAAGAAGCTAGAAAACAATTGATGTTATTTGAGTATGAATGGGTTCAGTCCTGTGACAGTCTTATCACACTTCCCATTCACTTTGCATCTTTATAATTCTCCTTCGCAGCAGCCCTCTTCTTTATTGTCTGGCTTGTGTTCCAGGAGATGCTAAGACTGGAAGCCAAGCTGACTCCAGGAAAATAGACAAAGTATGAGATAAGCGTGGTTTGAGCAGCGAGAAACAGGACATCTGCATAGGCTGTGGAGTTCCAGCACACACACACACACACACCAAAAAACATTGAAACCTCCACAAAGGACTTTTGTGGTTCATGAATATCAGTTCCAGCTAAGAGGCTTGGAAGAAACTGGCAGACATTAACTGGCAAGGCAGGGCTGCCATACTGAGAATGGTTCAGTGCAGCCTAGGAGGAGGAATAACACTAAAGAGGAAGTGTAGGGCCCCTTCAAGAAAGTAGATGATGATAACTCTAGCCATCAGCTATGGACCCTGGTAGTCACAGAAGCAGTATGAAGCAAATGGGAAGGCAAACCTGTGTGCAGAGGCTGAACACAGATTAAAAGAAACACTGAAAATGCTTTTCAAGGAAGCTGGGCAAAGGGTGGTAAGCACTTCCTGGAGGCAGATTCCAGTAAAGTTTCAGTGGGTTCCTGGACAGGGATGGGTCTTTGTATTTAAGAGGCTGTATACATTGGATGACTTCAGTGACAAGCTAAAAGAGCCTCCATTAAATTGGCACAAATAAATTTCTTGCTTCAGATATCAGGGAGTCCAGAAGAAGCCTAGGTTTCAAGACTTGATCCAGGGGCCCAACTCCTTTTTTTCTTTTAAGTCCCTCATGTCTTTTGGTAAGTAGATGACACAGATGTGACATACTGTCTACTCGGTGTCCTACAACCTGATGGGAGCACTTCAAGAGAAGGAGATATCTACACGCTGATCCCAGTAAAACACAAACAGGCAGTAAGTGGTCACCATTAGGTTATTGTAGCCAAGGGGTAGTCAGTGACCTCTCGGGAGCACGTGGTATCTGGTGGAGGAAAGACACTTGAACCAATCAGGAAACCAAGAAGGAACTAAGAAGAAATAGATCCGGGTAGGTACTTGGAAACATCTGCTTCTGGTCTCCACAGTGAGAGGCTGTGTAGAAAGGCAGCTATCAAGGTGGCTGAGTCAATGCTATGAAGCTAGAGCAGAGAAGACGGGCACTCACCGCAGAGTGCAATTCCCTTGAAGCAGAACTTGATCAATGTGCATTGTAAATCTACAAGTGGGTGGAGAGTATATAGTTCCAAAATTGTTCCATTAGAGGACTTTTCCTCCCCAGAAGTCTGGAGCGCAGGATCACATTTTGTGTAGATCATACTGCCTTGCATGTCCTGCAACAGCATGGGGTGCATAAGACACTCCTCAAATACACAGCATGATTCCCTGAGTCCTTACTGAATACATACTGAGTGAATGAGTCAGACAGATTCAGAAATTCTCTATCCATCATACTGAGGGAAAGGTGACAGAAAATGTGGGAACTGCCCTTTAAAAACAAAAGCTTCCTTTAAGGTCTTTTTCTTTCTATTTTTGTGAACTAGTTGGTGATAATTTTCCACCAGTGAGCAGGCCTGAAGGGTTCCCTGCAATCCACAGGCAGGAATGTCTTCTAGATTGCTTTCTTCTTTCCTGTCCTGTATGCCCTTTGACATCTCAGAAGTCCCCATTTGTCCATTGTACATATTTCTAAATCTAGTATGAAGTCAATACTTTGTCAGAGAGAGTGGGTCCTGAACATTACCATACTTCCTTAATTTAAATAATGGATTCAGACCAGGATTCCTGAATGGACTAGGATACATATTAGTCAGCTGTCTGGACAAGCCCTCAATGATGCCCTTTTTTGTCTTAGCCAGAAGAAGAAAACAAAGCTTTAACTAAGTGGCGAGGCACACTATGGGAATGGCACAGTATTTCCCCCAATTTAGTCAAAGCCACATTCATTCCATGGGTCATAAGTCTAGATGTCCACCACTGCTTTGAAAAGGTTTCTTGGCTGTTTCAGAGCTTGTACTTGTATACTGATGTGGGTTTTAAAATTTCAGGCGTGTGAAGAAAGGCATGAAAGATTTTGGTAATATTCACAACCAATGTCCCACCTTCACCTGGGGGGAGCCTGCAGGTGAGATTGGTGATATTATTCCACATGGCATCTGTGTCTTCTTAGTGCAAAGCTTCAAAGTGAAAAGTGAGTTTAAGTGGAAATACAATTCAAGCTTAAATATGATCATGAACTAAAGTGTGTTTTAAAATGTAGACTTCACGGCTGAGAGGTAGGGGAGAGTCAAAGAGACCAAACTTCCTTGCCTGCTTATTGGGGGAGGGAAAGCACAGTTCTACTCTCTGCTTTCTGAGTGAGGCAAGGGACAAGGCCATGCCTTTCCTGTTTCATTATCTACCGCTCTGGAAATGCAATTACCCATGGTAGTTTGATGTCTCTTGTCAGCTGTGCATAAGCGTTTGTGCTAACGATGCAAGGACAGCACGGCAGGATGCAATTCCCAGGACACACATGCAGAATCCTAATAAGCATTTACTTCCCTGGCTCAGAGAAGCTAGCAGTGCCTTGAGGGAGAGATGTCATAAGAGAATGGCATAGTTGAGGAGGAAAACAGAGCAGGCAAAGGGCAACCTGATGCCTGCTCTTGAAATCTCTAAACATAAGGGGCAAGGTTGACAAAATGAAGACCTTTAGTTGTTGTAGCGTTGTTCCAAGAATTTATAAGCAGCCAAGGTTTGAATGACTTTCCTCCTAGACAC